CCCCTTTTGTGAGCATATTTGATTGATGCCAGTTTTCTGTGACTCCGCCCACTCCACCCTAAATCCATTGACCTCATAATCTGTGATCCCTCCCCCACAGAACATGCCAACACTTCTAGAAGACAGTGGAGCAGTCTATGAATGATTCCAGTGCTTTCAGTCTGATCACTTTTTAATATCCCAAAGCCGTGATGCTGGCTATTGTAACATGATAATGTTGAACTACAGGCCACCAGACTTTTCTTCATATTTCTGTTTGGCACAAACCACACAGAGCATGATTGTTAATGCATGAATACTATAATTGGGATTTAATTCGTTTTGACAAACGAGCTTGCGACTGACAGGACTGTCCAAAGCTCTCAGCAACAGATGCAACATGAGAGGGGAAAAAAAGAGACAGAGAATACTGGGAATATCTCACATGATATGATATAATTACTTTCTCCGTAAATTATATAATACAGGAGTACAAGGCTAAAAAATAAAACAAATGCATTTATTTGATCAAAAATACAATAAAAACAGCCCTTGGGAGTAAGCAGATAAACATCAAATTTTCATTTTTGGGTGAACTACCCCTTTAATTATACAATTACGTTATAGAGTCAACATTTGAAGTGGATCAAAACATTTCATCAAAGTTGTCCTAAAACCAAAACGTGTTCTTGTCTTAGGACAACTTTTATTAACTTTTTTGATCCACTTCAAATGTTGACTACTATATTTTAAAATGTAATTTATTCAAAGCTGAATTTTTAGCAGCCAGTCTTCAGCGTCACATGATCCTTCAGGACTCATTCTAATGTGCTGATTTAGTGCTCTATAAACATTTCATGTTAAAATATAAATATAATAATACAGAAAACGGTAATATTTCACAAAATGACAGTTTTCGCTGTATTTTTGATCAAATAAATGCAGTCTTGGTGAGCATTAGAGACTTCTTGCAAAATCATTTTAAAAAATCTTAATTATTTTAAACTTTGACTGGTTATAGTGCTGGAATTACTACTAAATGAAGAAAAACTTGAATTTTCTAGACATTAACAAAATGGTTTTTAGAATCTTGGCAGGAGTTAGTCCTAACGTTTTGCTATAGACAACACAATTTTTGCTTACTGTGTGAATTTAAGCATTCGTTTCTCATAATGAGAAATGCCAGCTGTAAGATTAGGCTGAGGAGACTGAACTCTGTTTATTCAAGTTGATGTGGAGTCATGATAAAGTAGCAAGTGTTTGCCTGCTATATAAAGGTTTGGACAGAGAGTCTGTTAATCGGTAAATAATGAGGCCAGCATGCAGAGCGAGAGCGGCAGTCTGCCAAGTTAGTTCAAGAGGTGTTAAATTTTCATTAAAGTTGCCTCCTACTACAGTGAGCTCCCCACTGATTTCCCATCTAATTGATGTCTGCTTCCAGCGAGAAAAACAAACTCAAGCAAATTGAACTTCACACCTAAATGAACACATCAGATTCTACTACTGAACTCAATTAATAGGCCTAAACTGTTGTAAAATGTCTAAGAAATAGTGGAAAAGTACATCAAATTAGCTGAAATATTTACCAGACAAACATGCAAGGATTGGATTATGTGTAGAACGTCCAGCGTTCCAATTCTACAGAAATCTGCCAGAATCCATGTGGGCCTGGCAGAAAGTACTACATGTATTCTATTCTTTTCTCTCTGCTTCAATCATCTATCCCACGAGTCTCACTGACAGCCCTGCTTTAAAAAAAGGAATCTGCTGAAGCATATTCCTGCATGACTCCAGGGTCCAGCTATTACACAACTCAATTCAATGCCACTCACTCACACAAGGCCAGCGTGGTGTCATACAGCGTTCCAGTCTTTTCTAACCAATCTCACATTGGAATCAGATGACCAAGGGCCTGAGGCACATCATTTTAATATCAGATGGGAAGAATGAATGTCTGCGGAAAGCAAACATGTATGCAAGTAATTCAAGACAAACAAGGGACTTTCATTGAACATTTCCTCCCCTTGCATCCCAAAAACACTGCTCCAGTGTAAAAGAGCAACATTTGTAAGTTGCTAAAGTGTCAAGAGTATGAGTTTTGTGTCAAAACATAAATTATATATATGTTGTTCATCCCATCTGAGTTCATCTCACTGGTTCTCAAACCTGATTTTACATTAGACACCAACTTTCCAATTTGATTTTTTTTATATTACTAGACCTTTAAACTGCATAGGCTCACATATTGACACAACATAGGCCAAATAGGAAAGTTTGTGTTATTGCTCAAGAATCTGTGCTACAGGCAGAAATAAATAAAGCCCTTTGGAGAAGCGTGGAAGATCCAGAACTAATTCTCTTTCAAACACACTCAGTGATATGAA